AGGCTTAATTTGCTCAAATTAAGGAATTAAGGAATGTCACAAAAATGAACTGAAACTCAGCGTATATAGGCTACGTTATGCTTCGCACTGTTTTTTTCTCTTGTTTATCTGTAAACTAAATCAAATATATTTCAATAATTTATTTATTGTATGTATGTATGTACTGCAGATTATATATATATATATATAACATAATGTAATATTTAGTATTTTCACATCTAGGTGGACATTTTTTTTAATTTGTACTACTGTCTGTTAAAAATAAATGAAAAGAAACCGAGCATAGTAGATTTGTTTTTTTCCCCGTTGTACCGAAATCGTATCGAACCGTGACCCCCGAACCGAGGTACGTATCGAACCGTGACTAAAAATCTAAAGCTAATAAATAAAAATTAAAAACTATAAATACATATAAAAAACAATCATAAAAATTACTCAACAAAAGCTTAAAATAAAAATATAAAATGTTTTATTTAATTCAAAATATTAACAAAAACTATAATAGTATATCAATGATACAAAAATTAAAATTATACACACACACACACACACACATATATATATATATATATAAAACATTTCACATTTTTGTTTAGTAAACAAAGTAATAAAATAAATAAAACTAAATAAACTAAGTAATAAATGAAAATTAATAAAAACTATATAGACATTTAAAAATGCAATAATAAAAATCACAGAAACACGCTATAAAATTACAAAAACGTTAAATAAAAATAAAATAAAAACAGAAAATAGAAAATTAAATGTAGTCAAAATATTAAAAATACCAACAAAACTAGTATATCAGTGATACTAAAATAATATATAATTGTGTGTATATATAACTGTTCTATTCATTAGACATTGTTTTGTGTGTGTGCGTGTGTATAAATATTCAGAAAACAATGACTAATGAACAAAATGAATTTGATCTGATGGGAATCATGATGAATTTGACAAAGTCAGTATTGTAGTTCATTATTGGGTTTAGAGGGCGGGACTTGAATTGACGGCTGCTCTGCTTGGCTGGTTTTACAGGTGGGCACGCAGCTGATTCGTGGTGTTTCAGGTGGAGAGAGGAAGAGGACAAACATCGGCATGGAGCTGATCATTGATCCGCCGGTGCTTTTCCTGGACGAACCCACCACCGGCCTGGACGCCAGTACAGCCAACTCTGTCCTCATGCTGCTCAAGAGGTGCGTTTATACAAAACCGCTCATATTCCACACCTAAACCACAAGAAAGACATGTTCATTTGTTAAAAAAAATACTTAAAAAACGGTCTATTCCGCCAGAAAGCACTAGGTAATTGCATATACGTATTATTGTACAAATATTTTCAAATATATCTAATAATAACTAATCTCTCTATATACATTTTATTTCTAAATTAGTACATTTATTTTAAAATTAAATTTAATTAAATTACATTTTAAAATTATTTTGCTCTTTTGGGATGAAATATGACTGACATTGTTGTGAAATTTAACCACAGTGCTGTTTTAACTGTCCCATGTGTTTAACCTGTGTGTTTGTTCAGAATGGCGAATAGCGGTCGCACCATCATCCTGTCCATCCATCAGCCGCGGTACTCCATCTACCGGCTGTTCGACAGCCTCACGCTGCTGGTGGGAGGAAGGATGGTGTATCACGGCCTGGCTCAAGAAGCCCTGGATTACTTCAGTCAGATCGGTATGAAAACATGAACAGACACTCAGGTCCTGATACTGATGTGTGTGTGTGTGTGTGTATCAGGATACACCTGTGAACCTCATAACAATCCTGCTGATTTCTTCCTGGATGTCATCAATGGAGACTCCACTGCCGTCGCTCTCAACAAGCTATACAGCAATGAGGGTACAACAATTTCCCTTCTCCATGATTGTTTTCTCGTAGTATAAAGGCCACTTTGCAGCTTCTTTTAGTCAAGAATCGCCACTAATGACATGTAATGTTTGTTTTAAAATGTATTTTATTTTGATTATTATTTTTTTCAGTTTTTATTTTCATTGTGTATTGTTGTTGTTGTTCTATTTTATTATTATTATTCGTAGTAGTATATATATATATATATACACACCCGAAACAGGCATGTGCAGCATCTCCTCTGGGCTCAAGGCAGTGTTTCCTTTTGCTTAAGAACAGTTAATGTACTGGGTGCTTTGAACCTCGCAGCAGACTTTCTGTTGAGACTGAAACTCAGGTCAGGGGACTGGATTCTGGCTCCAGGCGGTGGCTCAGGTTTGGAATCCTTTCGGCAAGGCAGAGGCTCTATGTGTCGCAGGACTTGATTCCGTGCCCCCTTTGAACACACCCTGAACAGGCATGAGATTTGGAGTCTTTTTGGTGAGGCAGAGGCTCTTTGCATCACAGGACTCTTGGCCAAATATGAGAGTGTATGCATTTCCTCCAGTCAAATTGATCCCTGTGGTTCTTTACAGAGATGGCTATTTTTGATGATCCTGTTCTGGCCATCCCAGACATGGTTCTCAGAGTTGACTTTCCTGGTGGAGTGAACCTTGCGGGAGATTCCAATCTGGACCTACTGTCTCAACTCCAGGGCAGGATTTGGCACCCTTGTCCCAAGATTTGGAGACTGTGGGTGTGGCTGATCAGTGGCAACCAGTGATAGCTTCTGATCTTTTTGCTGGTGTTCAGGAGACCATTGCTAATGCTCAGTCTAATTCTACTAGGAGACTTTATTTTTCCATGTGGAAGGTTTTTGAGTTTTGGTGTGTGGCTCATGCAGTGGATCCAGTCAGCTGCCCAGTTCACTCAGTGCTGGAATTTCTCAGCCGCGATTACTTTGAGGGTTTATGTTACTACTGTTGCTGCCCGTCAGGAGTCGGACAAAGTCCCTTTGGGCAGGCTTTGTCTGGTTTCTTTGTTTATACGTTGTGTTAGGGGCTTGAGGACTGTGCATCCTGTTACTTTTCCTTCCTGGGACTTATCAGTTGTCCTGGAGGGGTTATCGAGACTGCCTTTTGAGTCTGGCTCTCTCAAGCATGTAGGGGATCTGTAGGCTCTTTTTGTGACTGAGCCATGCATGGTATTTGCCCCGGGTCTTGTGAAGGTGTTTCTGCAACCAAGACCTGGTTGCATCTCCAAAGTCTTGTCCACGTCATTCCGTTCCCAAGTTGGTCGTACTTTATGCCTTTTGTCCTCGTCCCTTTGCTGCTTCTTTGGAGGAGAGGCTTCATCTACTATGCCCTGTTTGGGCCCTAAAGGTTTATGAAGACTACTCTGGCCTGTGGCACAAGTTGTTCCAATGCCTAGTGTGCTTTGGTGCTGGCCGCAGAGGGCTTGACGGCTCCAAGCACAGGATTTCTCATTGGGTGAAGGACACTATCTCTCTAGCTTATGAGGTGCGGAGACTCCCTTCACCTCTAGGCCTTAGAGCTCACTCTACTAGGAGTGTCGCATCCTCCCAGGCTCTTTTTAAAGAGGTCCCTTTGGAAGATATTTGGGTTGCGGCAGGGTGGTCCTCCATGCACATTTTAATCAGGTTTTACTGCCTGGATTTGGATGCAGCTCCTGGTTCCTGGGTCTTTTTTTGCATGAACAA